TGTATATAATTCTTTACTTTTATCATTGCAATATTATTTCTATTATTGTTTCATTAAAACTGTTCTAGTTTTTTTTCTTCTCTAACCCGAAAGTCTCTGTGCTTCGTTCCCTTTTCCTTCCCATGTGGCGGGGGGAAGAGGGGGTTAGAGAGCATCTGTCCGTGTTAGAGGCTGGCCCAGCCCTAACTCACGACAAGTGGTTTAGCAGTAAGAGTGCAAAGTCTGCCTGGAGGCTGTTATGTTCTCTACCATTAATGACAAGCCATGGTTTTAGCGGCTTGTGAAAAAACATTGCAAAGAGTTTATCCCATCCCCTGTATGAAATATTGGAGTGAAGAAGGCTTTTTGGATGCGCTCTCTCTCTAAACCAATTGCTGTGCCTAAGAATTAATAAAATCCATATTGAAGTGACAGCTGGTGGACAGAGCTGGCTTCTTCCTGCATCACTTGTCTCTCTAGTGGCTCATGTTCTGGGCTCAATGCACATTTATCCTTTTATTACGGCATTTATTGATTCTTATTTATTTATTTATTTTGTAACTTTGATTATATCAGCACTAGCTATTAACATCATCCTTTTCTTTTGCTCTTTAATTATGGACCTTCCAAGGGCATTCAACTATTGAAATAAAAATGCAGACAAGTGAGAATATATTTTTCTCAAAACTTTACATGGCATCGTGAACAAGTTTCCAGTTCATGTGCTACTTTGACTATTTCATATCTTGACAATATATGTGAGCTCTTATTCTTTTTCCATTATTCCTTTCACTTCTCCCCCTTCTAAACTTGTATATGTATTTCTGAATCTGCCAGAAACTTTAGACTGACTCAGGAGAACCATGGAAAGTGTGTGTCATAAAGGCAGGGATTCAAATGAACTTTAGAGAACAAATTGGTTTGCTTATTTATTTATTCTGGTTTTATGTGATAAGTGGCAGTTTTATGTGGTAAGAGGCAAAGACCATTCTTTTCAAGGGAGAGAATGTTAACATTTGTTTTCTAGGAAGTGGGATCCAATAGTTGTCTCTGTCAGTCTAGTGAGTGGTTTCTATTTTGACACACGGAGAAAAGAAAGACTAAGGTTGCCTTTGTTTTCTCCAACTCTGTAAGATGGGTCATCCAGGTAATTACAGCTTTACTTTAAAAAGAGTGTGAGAGAGAAAATCTTTGCCGCTCCTTGTAAGCACAAAGAAAAGACGCTTGAGGGAATTAAATTGCATGATGATTTTTATAAGGCATCTGAATCATTTTGCATTCCACCTCTAAAGCAGAAAGTGATGAGTTTAATATCATATTGTAGGATGTAACCTGTAAGTCTCTTGGAAGGCAGCTATGGCATCCAGAGATGTTTGAGCCTGGTTATTCATTATTTTCTGCTTAAAGGCTGAAGCAAATGCGACTTTGAGTCTTTGAGCTACCTCTAAATTTATTCCCATTCCTATTTGTACATGCTAGTGCATTAGAAGCCATAACTGGGGTGGGTTCTGCTGTGTAGATACTGACAGATACCCCTGTGGTTTAACAGCAGATAGAGTTAGTTTATGTTTTAAATGTGTTTGTGTGTGCTCATGTAAATGCACACATACATTTATTACCTTCATTTTCCCATTAAAATTCTCTCTATCTCAGAAAGAATCAATTTCAGAAGGTCACCTCTCTGCTGATTTTTCTGAAGTTCCCAGTAGGTGACATTATATCTTTAATAAAATGTTAATTCTGTGATCCTGCCTAAATTGCAGGAGATCAGTAATTATGTCAAAATCTTCCAGAGAACCTCAACTGAAATATGAAACTTTATTCCCTAGCTTAAATTTGTAGTGTGGCAGTGGTCGAAACAGTTCCTACATGTAAAGTACTTATGAATATGTATGATTCTAAGAAGAGAGAAGAAAAAACATTATTGTTCAGGAACATACCTTAATTTTTTTGCAAAACTTGTCTGCAAACAAATTGTCAGTTACTTGCATCATGAAGTGGCAAACATCAAGTTTAACGTCCCAGTGAGTGGACTGTTATTGTCTGGTTTAAGGCCACAATATATTTGTATCTGTGAATAAACAGAATTTTTCCACATAGGAACTCATGTTATATTAAAACATTCTGTAAAGGAGAATGCTCAAGATTGATAAAATAATGAATGTGATGAGAAACGTGAAACACTGAAATACCATTCTCCTCCTATGCATCAGTGTCTCGGAGTAGTAGATCTAAGTGGCAGTTACTCTAGCAATGTTTAAAAACTTACTGAATAGGATGGATAGTTGTGAATTTGGACTGTACTCACTAGGCGGGAATATGTGAAATAGAGTTTTTTATAAGTTCAGTAGGAGGTTAAGGAACAAAGAGTAAAAAAAACCATTTGAATAGTTATTGTAGTCTCACTTAGGAAATTGCTTTTGAAATATGTTCTAATGAATGACTGGATAAATGTTTTTAAACCCTTGTCTGGGTGATGAGCTATCTGTTGAATGTCATGGTTTACAAATAAGCAAACTGGAAGCTTAGCCTTTAGGTGAAGGTGGTATCTGTGAAGGACACTGTTCCTTCACAAATAACCATTGTAACCAGATTATTGGAAAATGGTTTTGATGATCAAGAAAGATCTTTAAAGGAGTTTCAGGACACCAAGAGATTCTCTAAAGTTCTCTGGAACAATTTTATCAGCAATCATTTAGAGAGAATCTTTGGAGAGTTTAGTAAATATTCTCTAGTGATACTGTGTTACACTGGATGACTTTGATCAATTGAATACTAAGCTGAGGCTTAGATGAGCCATGTTCTGCAGGTGAATTTCTTGCTGGAGAGCCTATGGAAAGTTATCTTAGTAATCTGTGCCTGTGTCCCTTTTTGTAGACACCTTCTTCAGGAAACAATTTGATAACTATGGATGAATTAGTATGGCACAGCATAAATCATACAGTTTATGCCAGCCCATTTATTCCTATTTTTTAGGACACAAATTATACTAGTCTATTGTTACATATCATATATGTACATATCACACTGTGCTTCTCAATTACTCTATATTATCTGTCCCTACAAAGAATTCTGTCTAGTTGTTCTGAAATAAGTATGACTTAGGTCACTGACTTCTATGTGAAGGACATTCATGCTTTATAAATATCCTGTTTAACTAGATTATCTCCTCACTTCATCATCAAATCGCTGTTTTGAGACACTACAACATGTTCTGTTTTATGGTGATATGCCAGTGTGCATCTGATCTCATCAAATTCTGTGTCTGATGGGGAAAATATCTTATGAAAAATAATATTAGTTAATCTTGGTTTTAATTTTTGTATGTTTGGAGAGAAAGAAAATCCTATGTGGTATTTCATTCTGTCAATGCTAATCTTTCTCCTCAGTGCTATATCTCCGAATAGCAGATGTATGCTTTATTGCAGTGTTGGTCCTCTATAGCACAGCATAATGTTTTGGCAGGAGCAAACAATTTATTGTATTAGAGTCAAATACAATCAAATGTTCCTTTTCCTATGAAGTGTGGTCAGATATTGATATTGCATTAGGTAACATTTTAACGTAGAGGGGGCTTAATAAGATGCAATATTACTCTCTCTAGGCTGTTTAATTAAACAGTCACTGCGTATTGTACATTGGTTTTCTGCCAAGGGAAAGTAAATCTGTATCGTATTAATTTCACATACCAAATGATATTCTCCCCCCATTAGGGACTCTCTAGAAGAGCTGACACTGCTGTCACATGAACTGCATAATACAAATGCATTTTGTATTACATTGGACTGTCTTGTAGCTCAGTATTCTCCAGTAGCCTGAGCAAGCGCTGTGTGCAGATGAGATGTGACTGGAGAGCTATATGTTGTGTTTTACTGGCCAGGTTCCCTGTTTGCCACTGAGGGGTACAGGGCTAAGCATTGTAATCTCTGTCCTCCTAATAGAGCTCTTCCACATCCCCTTGTTGGGGCAGGGAGATCTGAACTGTAACCTTCTGATCACTGGAAGGGTTCTTACTGGCCCTATGGTGGCCAGGTGACAGAGGTGGGTTTGTCACCGTCTAGTCACAGAGCATCATTTGTTCAGGAGGAGAAGTTGCAACAGTTTGGGGAAACTGGGTAAACTAGTGGTATCTGCTCTGGTAGCACTTTTTACTACTGGATGTTGCCTTCTCACTGCTGTCAGTGGCACCATATGTGGTGATCAAGGTGAGCATTCACTCTTTGCCACCGATGGAAGGGGAAGTAGTATTACTTATATATGATGCAAGGAAAAAGATACATCCCTGAACTGGAGACTTGAACAATGTTTCCTTACAGAGTATTCTGACACTGAATTACCAGCCTGGGAAGGACGTAGGGAGAGCAGGCACTTCTATGTTAGGGTGTTCTCATGTTTTCTTTTTAAGTAAGAGTGGCTGCAGAATCATGTGGGAAGCTACCAACAGAGTGACATTCAAAGCACTTCCTTTTCGGAAATTGTTCTGTTGAATTCCTACTAGAAAGCAGACTAAGGCAAAAACATTTGTAGCATTTCTTCTTATAAACTGCACAGGAAGTATTGAAGTCCCATTTACACATTGCTGAGCCTGTCTTTCCTGTCAGACACCTGCATATTGTGACTTAGAACTGTGCATAGATGGAAAAGCTATGCCTAAACAGTCATGCTCTGGAATGGAAAGGTGCATATTTTTATTAGTGGCACTAAGCCCTTTAAAAAAGCGAAGAGCAATGCTTTGGCTCTATTTTGCACAGTGTCCAGTGCTGCATAAATGTTCCAGCCTTCTCAGAACACGTGAAGAAATGTCTGTCATGGTCCTGCGGTGCATCTCACATGCACCCACTAAGAGGCCTGAGTAGTTGGATGCATCAAAGCAATACCTGTAACATGGCTCTCTGACACTGGCACCGTGGTTAGACTCAAGGAGGGCAGTATTGGATTTATGGGAGGCTTCACCTACATAACACAGTTATGATTTATCTCATGCTGAATGTTTTGTTGTTGTTGTTGTTTTCCCTCAACAGAAGATTAACCTGGAGTTCTATATTGACATCCATGCCCACTCCACCATGATGAATGGCTTCATGTATGGGAACATCTTTGAAGATGAGGAAAGATTTCAGCGACAGGCTGTTTTTCCCAAGCTACTCTGTCAGAATGCCGAAGACTTCTCTTACGTAAGCAATGTTTCTCTTAAATAGCTTTTTCCAGCTTTATTTTTTAATGATAAATCTCTCGTTTAATTGGATTGTGTAAATTTTATTTTAACATTAATAGAAGACTACTTAAATTTTTTGTCATTATCAGCTACCATGTTCCCTCTTATCCAAAAGTGGTAAGTTGTCATCTTATGCATTGTCATTAGACACATGGACAGAAGCAGGTTCTTCATCCTCTATGGTATAGCTTTTGATTCTGAATTATTTGAACACTCAATTTTTATCAGAAGATCTTTTGTCTTTTGATAACTGGATCAGCTTTATTGTTTCATTTATTATATTATACTATATTGGCAATTTTTCTTAATGTGTACATTTTAAATAATAATATGATAGCAAATAGAAGTAAAAATAATAAATTTGAAAGAAAAGACTAGATAATTTTATGCTGAATGTCGTGAAAAGGCAATGTATGCTTTTAAATTCTTTGATATTATCACAGAAAACAGTTCAAGAAAATTTGCAATTGCTCAATACATGTCTTGGAAGAAAGTGTAGGTACCTCTGGATATTGGAAATAAATATAAACTCCTATAAATGAGTTGGAAAGGGGCAGATGTTTTCAGAGTAAGTTTCAGTTAAAGTACAATAGATCCTTATCACACATTTGTCATTGCAACTCTGCAGAAGTAGATTTAAGACTTTGGTCCAGTGTGTTGCAACTTTGTGTCCGTATATGACATCCTGGTCCTTTCCGTAGCCTCTTTTATGCATCAGTTTGCCTTGAAAGCTGTGCCAGCAGAACATACAACACCCAAGCCTGCCTGCAACTGCTTGGTTGCTTCTCCTGGCACACCTTACACACCTGCAGAGCTGCCAGCTAGGCTCCTTCTATACAGCCATACCTTGCTCTGTTTCAATCTATGCCTTCTTTGCTTAAGGGGACAGTCTTCCAAGTAAGAGGTGTTTGGTATCCCATTTTGTTCTGCCTGAGGTGAGGAATATTCAGAAATGCCTCTCGGCCAAGGCAGTGGGAACTTCCAGCCATGAGCTGTGAGGAGGGCAGGCAGCCGATAACATTTGGCAGCTATATATCGGGAACAGGTTCAGTTAAAAATAACTGGAATCATGCACCAAGGAAAGAAGAGCAGAAGAACCTACTGTTTGTGCCCTGATTATATGTCTCTTCTTAACCCTCTTTGTTACCCACCATATGTTTTCCCAGTCTCTGTTGTCCCCTTTCTGCTTATACTTCATCCTTCTGGTGCTGAAAGATAAACCTGGCTCTCCTTTCAAGGACGGGGACAGCTGGGGCATGATGTCTGCCTCCTCTGCAGTGCCATCCTGTTCCAACCAGCTTGTGGCAGAGGTGGCAGGTGGAGGAGCATAAGGAACCCACAGCATTCCTTGTGTTTAGCTCTAGAGAAACAAGATATAAAAACAGATACAAAAGTAGACAAGTCTGCACAGCAAAAGAAACTGTAATTGGGGAAGAAGGTCTTTTTCATCATGGCAAGAGTAGAGAATATTTTTGTCTTGTGTTTATGCATATTGCACTGTGGAGTGTGAGTGGGAACTGAGTATAGAAATGAAGTTGTGCCACTGTTTTCTTGGCAGATCTGTCCCATCAAAAGGAAGGAGAAATTGAAACCTCCTGGTTCCTGTCTGTTTCTCTGTAGTAGTTTGTTTTATGCAAGGGTGGGAAAAAGTTTGGATTAGTCTCTGACTTCTCTAAGGCTAGGCAGAAGATATAATTTCCTCCATCCTTTCTGTTTTGAGGAGCGAGGCCTCTAGTAGACAAAACATTTCTTCTTGGGATTGGTAGTGGCAGCTGGCTGGGTAATGCCTGGGAGGGTGAGTGGTTGCTGTTGCTTCTTCTGTTGTCTCATAGTGTTGTTTAACTGTTGTCTATATGTTTCGGAGGTTTGGGAGACTGCTGCAGTGTGAAGATTTCTTTGGTCTACCACTGCAAGGGCTTCTCAGAAAAATGTCTGGAGTGCAGGACACCAAATCCATGCTAAATGTGGAGGGACATAGCTGCATCTGTTTGCAGATTGGAGCCTGGGGAAGAGGGAGTTGGGTTCAAGGAAAAGCCTGTCCGAGAAGACCTCGGTGATTGACTTTCTTATCCACACTTGGTTGTTGTTTCAAAAACACATTATATGGACTTGAAGATCTTAAAGGTCTTTTCCCATCTAAATGATCCTATGATTCTATAGATGAGGGGACATTCACAGATCATAGCAATGAAAATCTGCAATTGATAGAGGTTTAAAAATCTTGTGCTCAAGCGTGAGATTTCTCTCTATTACTGTGAGAGATTAAGTGTTCCTCTTAGCACAAGCCTCGGTTGACAAAGGGAAAATCTTTGAGAAAATGATGTAGAAAATAGAAGCTGATAGCTAAATAAACAGCTTGGCACCTCCCCTTTGACTCTCAATCTCCTTTCTGTAGCTGGCAATCAGATCTATATCATAGAATCATAGAATGTTCGGGGTTGGAAGGGACCTCTAGAGATCATCTTGTTCAACTCTCCTGCAAGGCAGGGTCCCCTAGGGCAGCCACACAGGAATGCGTCCAGGCAGATCTCGAAAGTCTCCAGGGAAGGAGACTCCACAACCTCTCTGGGCAGCCTGTGCCAGTGCTCTGTCACCCTCACAGGGAAAAAAGTTTTTCCTCATGTTGAGGTGGAACTTCCTGTGTTCTAACTTAAACCCATTATTTCTCATTCTATTGCTGGGCACCACTGAAAAGAGATTGTGCCCTTCTTCTTGACACCAACCTCTCAGACATTTATACACGTTAATAACGTCCCCTCTCAGCCGTCTCCTGTCAAGGCTAAACAGCCCCGAGTCTCTCAGTCTCTCTTCATAGGAGAGATGTTCAAGCCCTTTAATCATCACTGGTTGGTGTCTAGTGCACCACAGTTTGACCAGGGTGCTGCTGGAACTCAGCACATTGGGCTTTTAACTGTCTTCCTACTGATCTCTTGATATCGGAAGCTTTTTCCCTGCCGTCCATCCAAGCCATTTGTCTCGGGGCAGCTGAGGGGGTAGAAGTGTTGCAAAAGGTAACAGCCAAAAAGTGTTAAATGAGTGTGAAGAAAGAGGAGTGAATATTACTGCTGTCTACAAGTGGGAAAGTCTCTATTCTCTTGTTTTCAGCTTCAGCCATGTGGGTTATGTGACTGGTTGGAAATATCAGGCATGAAGCTTCCTGCATTTAAAAGAGGGGGGGAAAAAGTGTTGAAGTTTAAAAATAGTGTATGTAAATATGGGCTATTGACTGCTCAAAGGGAAGGGGGGGAAGTGCATCGTTAACATTACCAGGCTGGTGTTTGAAAGTGTGGGAATGGACCACTGTTGTTACTAATTAATTTTCCAAAGCTTCAGGAGGTCTCATTTACATTGTATGCTGCTGCGGCCATTTGTTGGGATTATAATACTTCAACAGCAGCACTTCAAGTGAAAACTGGCGGCTGCATGAAGTGTTGTCCATAATTGACTAGCTCCATGTCTTCACACAGCACAGAGACAATGTTCCATTATGTTATCCATTGACAGTATCATTGAAAAGATTACTCTCCTTAAAGCATCTGTCAACCTTGATTGATTTACAAGGGACAAAGAACTGAAAAGGTTTGAAGTGCGGGTACAATTTTTGCCACCATTTAGCATACATAATGGTTCTCCTTTGATGTCAAAAGCTCATCTTCTATTAATAATGCAGAGGGCTTTTGAATGCAGGCTACTTGTATGGAGTTCCACACTAATAACCTACTTGCTGTGAAATGGGATTCACTTTGGAGAAGCAGTCATTTGTCTGGGTTTTACATGTTCAGAATGAATCCCGACTCAAAGGGATTTCTTTCAGTGCTCTGCGTGATTGCAGCTGAGCCCGGCACGGGTTAGGGAAAGCAGGCAAACCCTAGCCTGCTCCTCCAGCCCAGAGTCTGGCAGGAATCACGCAGCCAGTTGCAAAGGAGCATAAACAACAAGCCTAAGATGGTGTGATCAAATGCCTTGTGCCGTTTTGTCTGGCAACCTTCTATTAATATACTTGAGAGTGCATTTCATGCCTGGACTGCTTTCTTCACCTGTCATTTCCAATAGGCCTTTTTATTTAAATGACAGCATCCAAGGGAGATGGGTGATTCGCGCAGGGGATGGATAGGGGATTTGCGCCTGCGTGCCTGTTGTAGGACCAATGACAAGTCAACCAATGTCTCTGTACCCCATCCATGGAGCGGAACACCTAACCTCACCGAACGCTTAACCTCAGAGTGGTCTGGAAGGCTGACTGTGGTTTGCAGGTAAAAGTTTTGAAAGAGACCAGAAATTCTTCGTTTGTACACAGTTTCAGAAGCAGAGACCTGCTTTGGTTTAGCTGGCAGCACGTGAAGAAGAAAGCGAAAGAAGAGCTAGGAAGTTTCACTCCCAAATAAATACATGAGGCATTCTTGGGCAGCTGTCTGGGGAAAAAGGACAAATTCTGATCGGAAAAGATTTTATATTTTCAAGGTTTAAGAAGGATATTTTTGAATATTGGGGAGTAAATATAATCTGTAAGAAAGCTCTAACAATGAGAGCTGACAAGCTCTTTTGAAAGGCTGACTCACTGGGTTTTGGGAGCAGCTGTTGACACCATGTCTGAGTGCTTTACACATCAGCCATGGCGAGGAGTCGTTGCAGTATTTGGAGGGGTGTTCTTCATTTGACCTTTCTTGTTCTGGAGAGTGGATTAGTCGTAACAAGCAGACACAAGCACTTCATAATTTCAAGAACCTGCTAGTCTTCGGGGTGGCTAATTTTGACCTTTGTGACAGTATGAGAGGAGACCATCTGTTCTTTCTGGTTCATTTAAAAGAAACAACTCTAGCCATTCTTGGATGGCTTTATCACTTTGTAAAGATTTCTTTTCTTTGTAGTTAAAGGAAAAAGACTAGTCAGAGGTACTTGGCTTAATCTCATTGGTTTGTTGGTTGTTTTTTTTTTTCTCTTTTGGACTCCAGAGTGGTG